ACACCCCCCCCCCCCCCCCCCCCCAAAACATGTACAAGCGGACCATTTCTCATATTCTGGAATCAGACAACTTGGTAAAGTCTATCACATTTGTATTTTGTTCTCATCCACCATTGTCTCTTTTATGCATTTGGGAATTTGGATTGCCTGAGGTGGGGTCGGATCTCATACGGTTCACAACCACATGATCGATAATGATCGTACGGTTAGGATTTGGTGAAAAGACACACTTAGAATCCATGGCTAGATGTAATGACCCAAACCCATATGCTCACTCTTATAAAACAATCCCCATGTATTTCAACAAATGATATAAGACTGAATCATGATAAGCCTGAGGTTGGGTCGGACCTCATATCATAGGCATTCCTCAGGAGGACTGTTCCACTTGGGTACAATGCACAACACGTTAGAAATTCTCATTAAAAACTCCAAGAAACAGTCACTAAAAAAATCATGACAAGAATCTATCAACACTGCATATAATACTCCCATTCTTGTTTTTTAAGGATAAAATTATTCGTTGTTTGGGCCCAAAACTTATGTCAGAAGGATAGACTTATTGGAACACTTAGGCGTGTTTATCTTCTGCTTGGGATCAAAATTTGTCAACTTTCACCTGCATATCAATGTAAAAAAATAAGAATTTCAGGGGAAATTGGTTACCAATTTAAATTATATCCTTTGTTTGGTCCAATAGCTAAAACGACTCGTAAAAATCAAGTTACTCAAATTTGGCCATCGTTTTTGACAATTTGGCTTGAATCACACACATCTAATTTGAAATGTCTAGTTTTGAAGTCTCATTTCAAAATATTTAAATTTACTTGGATATAGAAAGCATCCACCAAAGTGTGTAATCCACAACTTTTTCAAGTGCATTTTAGTAATTTAGGTTTTAATAACGTATATTTTTAAAAACTTGTACCGTAAACATTAAATTTTAGAAATCATCCCTAAAATCCCACACTTCAGATTAGTTAAAAGTACATTTGTCTCCTCAGATCGACTAAATCGATTTAGATAAGGAAGGTTATAAAGTGAGGATATAACAAGATTATTTCAAGCACAATTTATTTTTTTAAGTCATAATTACTTGTTCTTTTTCAAGTTTGTAAAGTAAATTTTAGATTTTTATAATTACTCTCAAATTCGGTAAATCACATGGATTGTGAAATAAAATTACAAATATTTTAGTTACACCCTGATATGAATTGACACAATCATACGTGATAAGAAAAGAATTGAGCAAAAATATATATATAGAAATATATATATATATATATATATATATATATATATATATANTCATACGTGATAAGAAAAGAATTGAGCAAAAATATATATATAGAAATATATATATATATATATATATATATATATAATAACAACATTTTCAGTGTAATTTAAGTCCTAATTACACGTTTATTTTAAAATTTGTAATGTATACAATTTTTCACTCATATCCCACTCATCACATTAATTGCAAACAAAAAACTTCAAAACACCATATTCATCACCCTCCGACCTGGATCGACTTTCAATGTGAAAGCATTTTTTTTTCCGGAAAGTAATATGAAAGCAATAAGCAAGGGTATATCCCCATCTTTTTTTAAGTGCATTTTAGTAATTTAAATCTTACCCCACATGTTTCTCTCTCTCTCTTTTTTTTTTTTAAAATTGTCAAGATTCGGATTAATTTACGTACATTTTAATTATTTTTTTTTTGATTTAGTCAAAAATACGATATTTACACCAAAAAATTATTAAAATTCAAACTTATAACTTTTAAATTTAAAAATTATAACGATTGAATTTATAATTTAATCCTCTTACCTTAGAAATCACCTTAGGATCATTTCAGTTGAGGACTCAAACTTAGAGATATCTAAGTATTAAACGTTCTAGAAAATAAACATTGACAAGAAAAGTATGAGTATATCCGTAGCTTTTCATGTGCATTTTAGTAATTTAAGTTGCGTAGCGTAAGATGTCTGCGTTTGTAGAGGGAAGCCAAGCCACACTGGCTATGCTATCCTCCGATCGTTTCTATCTCTGAACCCAGCCTCCCCTCTCTCTCTCTCTCTGTCTCTCATTAATCTCCACACACCCCCTCAAAACTCAGTCCTCANCCCCTCTCTCTCTCTCTCTGTCTCTCATTAATCTCCACACACCCCCTCAAAACTCAGTCCTCAAATTGACCTTTCTGTTACACACAGCTACTCTAGGGTTTAGGAATCCCAATTTCATGGACTTATGCCTTCCTTGACACCGCCAACCAATGTCTCACATCAAGCGCAAACTTGACGATTATGCCCCCACCGACGACGAGGACGACGTTTCATCGGACTTAGTTTCCGTCAGGATGCGCAAAGACCAACCCAACGCCGTCAACTCCACATCCAATAACAGCCTCTCTCCACCCAACCACCCCTTCTACCCTAGGGTTTCCGATGCTCAATGTTCTACTTCGACACACCCTGGGTCAACTCGCTCACTTACTCGCCTCCAATTCTTTGTCCGCTTGATCTCCGATGGCAACTCTCTTGTCCTCCACGGCAGTTCCGATGACACAGTGCAATCAATTCACGAGAAAATCCAATCCATCACCGGAATTCCGATCATCGAGCAGCGGTTAATTTATAGGGGAAAACAGCTGCAGAGTGAACAAACTTTGTCCGAATGTTCGATCCAAAACGACGCCGGACTTCAATTAGTCGGTCGCTTGCGGTCCACCAAACACCCTCAAGCTTGGCAAGTCATCAACGAGATGGTCTCATTAATTTGCAGACTCTGTAAGGGCGAGTCGACCAGGGGACAATCCAAAAACGTAAAATCAAGAGTAATGGAGTTCCTCACAATGACGCCGCGGAATGATAATGAACAAGCGGCCGGACATCTCCAAATTTTTACGTCTTCTTGCGCCCCAGAAGCTCTGGTAATGCTCTATATGTCCCCGCTTAAAGATAATAAAGATATCGCTGATGAGGCAATTCGGCACTTTATTAATTCTAGTAAAACTGTTTTGCCAAAATCTATACATTCGCAATTTGCGCCGATACTTTTAGAGTTTTGTAAATTGTTAAGTAGAGCTGGTCATGAAGATCGTTTGTATAATTTATGTCGGAGTAGTTTGGGTTCGATGGTGGAGTACATTGGACTCGGTCGTGGGTCCAAAAATGGGGGTGAGAGTAGTAAGTGTTTGATTGCTGTTCAAGAGATTTTTCCGTTTATTAGTGAATTAGCTGCAAGGTTGTCCAGTGATTTAGTGTCGACTATGGAATATGATTTAACTGTCCGGCAGCCATTGAGCGATGTTAAGGATTTCACTGCTTTTTTGTTAGCACTAAGAACTGCGATAATGGAAGAGCAAGTGGGGGGTCCCATTGAAATCCCAATTCGTGAAGGTGTTTACAATGTAATGTGTTACAGGGAAGAGACCGAATATCTACATGGGATTTTTGTTGATCTGTTGGAGAAAATGGAACAATGTTTGCAGAAGATGGAGGAGTGTTTGGCTGTGAAAGAGAAAGTAGAAAGTGAAAGTCTTCGCCTTGGGTGGTGCCAGTATCTTGCAATATTGAAAGAATTGAATTGTATTTCAAAACTTTATGGAGGTGCAGAGGAGCTGTTTTGGACGAAATTGAGCTGTAGAAAAGATTCTGTGTGTTTTCTTATCGTCAGATATGCGAAGAGGAGTGACGATCATCAGTGGATTCTTGAGCACAAAGATGTGACTAATTTCAAAGCGAGAAGGCATTTAGCAATGATGATACTTCCAGAAGTGAAGGATGAGTACGAGGAGCTGCATGAGATGCTCATCGACAGATCACAATTGTTAGCAGAATCGTTTGAGTATATTGCACATGCAGATCTCGATGCATTGCGTGGTGGTTTGTTCATGGAGTTCAAAAATGAGGAAGCTACTGGGCCTGGAGTATTGCGAGAGTGGTTTTTTTTGGTATGCCAAGCCATATTCAATCCTCAGAATGCCCTCTTTGTAGCTTGCCCGAATGATCGTAGAAGATTCTTTCCTAATCCAGGTAAGCTCTCAGTGCTTTAAAGCATGTTTTACTTGAACTATGTTTGATTTTGTGTTTGTGTATCCAATGAATTGTTATGAAAGATCTCAGGTCGAGTTATTTGGACATGATTGTTTGCCATCCGTCCCTAATAGGAAAAGGGAGTTAGCTTCTTTGGATAATATAATGTGCTGGATCACAACTGATTACACTGGATATTNTCTTTGCCAATGTTTGAAGTTTGCCATCCGTCCCTAATAGGAAAAGGGAGTTAGCTTCTTTGGATAATATAATGTGGTGGATCACAACTGATTACACTGGATATTATAGGTTAACTTGAATACATATTGCAAGNTGTTTGCCATCCGTCCCTAATAGGAAAAGGGAGTTAGCTTCTTTGGATAATATAATGTGCTGGATCACAACTGATTACACTGGATATTATAGGTTAACTTGAATACATATTGCAAGTGGCTTATTTTATCATGCAACAGGTCTCATGAGATTTGATGATGCAAATTTCGTTTCTGATCCTTGTGTTATATGATGGTTCATTCATACCAGGTGACTTTTTCTTTTCATTGTTAATTTGTAATAGTTATAGTACATGGTAGATCATTCTCAATTAGTTTCACATTATGAAGNCGTGAGATTTGATGATGCAAATTTCGTTTCTGATCCTTGTGTTATATGATGGTTCATTCATACCAGGTGACTTTTTCTATTTATTGTTAATTTGTAATAGTTATAGTACATGGTAGATCATTCTCAATTAGTTTCACATTATGAAGATTCACATGGTTTATGGCAAGAATCAATAACTCTACGAGTGTCTAAGGTATGGATTTGGGTGGTTGAAAGTTGAAACTGTTACAAATTGGAGCTAAAAAGAATGGATATGGGGTATGGATACGATACAAGACACGCTGACACAAAGTTTTTTCAAAAAAGTAATCTACAGATAGGCTGACGAATAACATTTATTTATTTATATGATCATGTCATAAAATAAATATTTGTTGATGATAATAATTCAATTCATCTCAAGGAACCAAATTTCCTTTTGAAATGATCAAAATTTTTTTGTTTTCACGAACATCGAAACAAATCAATGATTGAATATCGAAACTCTTATATTTTGAGGTATTTCAGTATATTTCGAGGTATTTCAAAATATTTTGTGGTGTTTCAATGCGTTTTGTTATGTTTTTGATCAATCTTTTTGAATGTTTCGTAAATCAATTTTCAAAATTTTTCTTTGATTCCATCATACTTCCAAATTATTTCTACAGCAGAATGGATATAGTTTTGTATTATGAATACATTTATATAATGTTCATGGGGTACTCATTTGTATTATGAGACCTTAATAACATTAGTTGAAATGACATCTGCCTCATATTAACCCTTTATTTTTTTGTAAATGTTATTTACTGCAAATGGATGTTAAGACAATAAGCATGCTCAATTACTTAATTATTAAGTTTATCTATATAAATAAAGATATTTTAATTTATGTTTCCTTTTGTTTCTACATGTTCCCAGGTTTTTCTTTGTTTTCATCGCGTCTCCGAAACGTATTCGAAATATTATTGTTTTTGAGTTGTCCGAAACTATCCACCAAAGTAAATTTTTGATTCTTGATTCATCTTTTTCTTAATTCTGACAATTCACATCATGATATCATCAAATAGAAGATAATCTGTCAAATATAGCAAAAAACATTCATGATAAGCATCCATGATCCGACAATTAATAATTACCTCAGTTTTTTATTTTTGTAAATATCTTATTTTGTAACCCTAATTTTCATTCAATTTCAAAGACAATTAATAATTACCTCAGTTTTTTATTTTTGTAAATATCTTATTTTGTAACCCTAATTTTCATTCAATTTCAAAGAACCCCAATTTCATAACTCAAGTTTTCTTCTAATTATTTATTTATAAAAAATTTATTCCATTTATATATTATTGTTTAATCATGTCCAAAGTTATGTTTAGTTATGTTTATTTTGGTTTCATATGTTCATATAATGATTACAACTCTTTTTATGTAATAACTTTGACCCATATATATTTAACATTACAAAAATAATATCCTTATTTATAAAGTTACTTGACAAGTTTTGCACAATTGACAAAAAGAAGAAGCTCAAAACGTGTCCCTAGCGTGTCGTTCATGTGTACCTAGTGTGTCTTGAGCGTGTTGGTCGCGTGTCCCTNATAAAAATAAAAATAATATCCTTATTTATAAAGTTACTTGACAAGTTTTGCACAATTGAAAAAAAGAAGAAGCTCAAAACGTGTCCCTAGCGTGTCGTTCATGTGTACCTAGTGTGTCTTGAGCGTGTTGGTCGCGTGTCCCTAACGTTTCTAGNACAAAAATAATATCCTTATTTATAAAGTTACTTGACAAGTTTTGCACAATTGACAAAAAGAAGAAGCTCAAAACGTGTCCCTAGCGTGTCGTTCATGTGTACCTAGTGTGTCTTGAGCGTGTTGGTCGCGTGTCCCTAACGTTTCTAGAAAAAAATATAATTTAGTGTGTTCAACATTTGTTTGTGTGCCAAATGTGTTAGACATCGACATTCTAACCAAAATTAAGGGTTCGTGCGTCTTAGAATTGGATTTATTATTGAAATTGTCTATTGAGTTGGATGCTAAACATCAAGGTTGACAAAACAGCCACAAATCAAGGCTGGAGAATAGGAAACTAAAGACCACGAGGTGATGTAGTTTCTTTGGCCATCCCAAAAACCCTATGTTGAAGGGAGTGTCCCCTAGATGGAAGTGGGATCTCCTAGAGAAGTGTTGGTGACTACAAAATTTACCGTGGAAGGCAATTGTTTATTGTTGTGGATCATGTAATTGGGGTGGTTATGCAATTGATTTTGAAGACGCTTTCTGTTCATGGGGTGTTAGCCAGCTTTGGCCCCTCAGATGTGTATATGTTTTATTGATCACACATAATAGCATAAAATATGGGTGATGGAAAATGGCAACGTCCAATAAAGGTGTACAAAAGATGTGGGCTGAATGGTTCTTAGGCCCAAGCCTTAATTTGACATATGTTGGATGATGTTGGGTCCACTTGGGATATTGACTAGGCATGAGTTGATTTCTAAAAGTCTGCATAACTTTTCATTTGCCTTATGACCTTTCATTTAGTTACATTAACCACAGGTTTTCTATGCATGTATCCACAAATTCATTCATTGTATCTAGTTTCTTGGGAGTTGAAAAGTTTTAGCATTAATTAGTTTCTGAAATCTTATATATTGATGTAACTTCAAAACTTTGAAGTATGATGAATGAATATATGAAATGTTTAGAAGTTTTTCTAAACTTTTAAGATTGTGTGATGCTAAAGAGCTTCTAGGTGAGATGCCTTAGGTTTCTAGGTGTGAGGCCTAAAACTATCTTCTTTTCCTTCTAATTCTCCTTCTTGCTTTCTATCTTCTTCTACTGTTCACAGCCCCCTAAACAACCCATAAACAACCCATGTTTTTAGNTTGCTTTCTATCTCCTTCTACTGTTCACAGCCCCCTAAACAACCCATAAACAACCCATGTTTTTAGTATTNTCTCCTTCTTGCTTTCTATCTTCTTCTACTGTTCACAGCCCCCTAAACAACCCATAAACAACCCATGTTTTTAGTATTTTCTCTTTCCTTAGCCGCCTTCTAATTCTATCCTACATCATTTTTGGTATCAGAGTAGGGTAGTACCATGACTACACGATTAGGCAGGCCTTTTAGAGGGAGGTTGATAGATAATTAGTGAGATGAAATGCTATTCCGGATTACGGAACAGCTAAATGGTATAAGCATCTGAATGATCAACTTGGAGACTAGAATTGTTCAACCACTCAACAATGCAGCAGCCCATGAGAATTAAAATGGAGGTTCCAGACTTTAAAGGTAAAATTAATCTTATGTTATTTTCTGATTGACTTGCTTCCATCGAGGAATATTTTGATTGGTTTGATATGACTGACGATCGACTAGTGAGATTTGCTAAGATGAAACTTGTGGGATTAGCAAAAATTTGGTGAACAGGCATTGAAGGTGATATTAGGTGATTGGGACAACCACCAATTAGTACATGAGAATAGATAAAAGCTATACTTCGGGAGAAGTACATGCCAACAAATTACCATGAGAAGTTTTGTGAACAACTCATGGAATTAAAGCAAAATAGCATGTCGGTGGCAGCATATATGTAGAAATTTAATGAACTTAAAATAAGGAGTCAAGTGGTGGAAGCTCCAAGTCAAACTCTTGCACGATTCAAGATGGGTTTGAGGCCAGATATAAGGAGGGAGCTACTTCATCAACCCTTGTATAGTCTTGAACATGCTTTTTAGATTGCTTTGGATATGGAGGAGTATTTGAAGTACCCAATTACGAAAAAGTTTGGGTCTCAAGCTGGGCAGACAACATCAAAGAAGTACAATGATGCAAGTAACTTTCAGACCAATGCTTCTAAGCCATCTTCTCAAAACATGATTGATCCAAAAGGTAAAACTCATCCAACCAACAAATCGGGAAGAAAGGAAAATAGGTGTTTCAAATGTGGGGAGACCGGTCACATGGCGTTTTTTTGCCCAAAGAGAAACTTACATATGGGAGTGGAGCATAATGAGGAACCTGACCAACAACACCATGAGGATGAGGATGAGGATGAATCGTTTGATTTGGGGCCTTCAATACTAATGATTAAGAAGACGAAGAGACTGACACTTCATTGATTTCAGTTGTTAGGTATATCCTTGCAGCCCCTAAAGTTGAGAAGGAAGATTGGAGGCACACTTCTATTTTTTAGATGTTGGTTCTTTGTGGAAATCAAGCCCGTAAGCTTATTATTGACGGTGGTANACGAAGAGACTGACACTTCATTGATTTCAGTTGTTAGGTGTATCCTTGCAGCCCCTAAAGTTGAGAAGGAAGATTGGAGGCACACTTCTATTTTTTAGATGTTGGTTCTTTGTGGAAATCAAGCCCGTAAGCTTATTATTGACGGTGGTAGTTGCATGAATGC